CGGGGACCATCACCTGTCGTGAAAGGAGGTCACTGGGTTTAGCCAGTCCTTGGAAGATCCTCGACCGTGTCTCCGAGATACAGTTGAACGGGGAGTTCGTGAACGCGAGGTGTAGGGGCGTGACAACTTGAAGGCACGAAGCAACGTCTTCTCTGTATTTGCGTTGATTACTGATGTACAAATGAAATTGTACGCAAGAAACAAGGCGAAAAAAAAAAAAAAAAACCCATGTTTTATTGAAATTTATTCCGAATCAAACAAATCGGGAAAAAGTGCACCAGTTCAGTGAGTGAATCATCAATTCAATCAAATTGAATTCTATTTGTCTTATGCTTGTTATCCTGTCGCCATAAGGCCCAACGAACACATACATATGGACTGGCGGCCGCGAAGTGGTGGGAGACCTTGAGTGGGAAACCCAAACACAAACAACGCAAAACAGATGAAAGAAAAACCGGCAACTGATGAACCCCATGGAAGACCTCATCAGATCCAATGGATTTGTTGTCTACTATAACTCCTAAATTGTGCAGCGCGTCTTGGAAGCCACTCCCCGCTGAGCCGAAGGTGTCCCAGCGGTGTCCCGTTTTAGGGGACCCGCTGTTTTGTTTTTTCTTCCTTTTAGGGGCTGGCACGAGTTTTTTTTTCCTGCACCGGAAGTGATGGGTTTGTAGGACACGCTTGAAAGGGCGCGAAAAGGTTGAGGTGCTTCAGTCCTCGCGGGAATGTGCGCCTTGGGGTGGGGTCGTTGGGTCGGGTCTGTCGCAGGCATGGAGGCGTAGCAGATTTCGGTGGTCCCCGAGGGCGCTTCCATTTCGGCTTCTTCAGTTCTTCCAGCTCACATGGTGGCATCATCGTTTTCTTGCTGGTGGTCACTGTACACGCCTCTGACCATTGGGAGGTGTGGAACGACGGTGTCATGGTCCATGCCATGATTGATATTACTGATTTCTTACTCTATGATGCTGTTCTCTTGCCACATCAAACTGTCCGCAACCTCCTTTATGACGAAGATCATTCCTCTGGCACCGTAGTGCAGCAGTACAATGTACAGACACTGTGTGACCTTCTCCTTTGCACAGCCACAGACACTGTTGCACTTGGGTGTACTCGCCATCATCTTTGTCCCAATCACTACCACGAGATGGTTTCTGCATCCATGTGTGTAGGTGGAGGAGGAAAGAGGTGGATGAGGGGGAAAAGGAGGAGTGCAGGTCACCACTTTTTTTAATACATCGATGGGTATGTGACGAGGAGGGTGAGGGCGACGTGGACGGCAGAGGAGTAGTAGAAAGATGACATGGGGAAAGAGCACGACAAAGGGCAGCATGAGCAGACCGACCGCCGCCGTCTTTAACTTCCTGCACCCACATTTTCCTTCCAATTCCTATCTCCTGCCTCCGCCATCTTCCATCTTCTTTGTCATCCCTCCATTGTCTTCCACTTCCTCTGTCTTCTCTCCGCCATGCTCCCTTCATCATCTTCCCCCTCCTCCCTCCCGCATCTTCCACCTTGTCCCCCATGTTGCCCATCGGGCCTTCCACCTCGCCCCTCCTCTTTCCACAAATCTTCCACCCCCTCCCTGTTCGCTCCTCCCTTGTCTCTTTGTTTGTTTTGTACTTATTGCAAACTTCCATAATTGGCTCCTTTTTTATTTCACATTCTACAATTTTATATTCTTACGCTGTTTCCTCATCATCTTTTTTTTT